ATGGTACAAATCCTCAACAAGGTGGGGGGGGTTTATATTCCTCATCTTGATCATTCTCACAACAATCAACCATCCAAACATAATTGTAGAGATATATTGATTGATACAAACAATATTTTTTTTTGTTAGACATCAAAAGGGAAGGAAACATAATACCGCTAACTATCTTGCTAAGTTGATTTTTTCTATTTTAGACCAAGTCTGGATGGAGGACTACCTATTTCAGACAACTTCTGTTGTAACTCATGATTGAAAAGTTTTTGCTCCCTCTATTTTTTAAATGATAAAATTTTTCTTTTAAGAAAAACCTTTTAAAGTATTTTGAATGACTTGTCTCGTAATAAATTTTAATCAATCAAATATGTCATAACAATTATCTTCATTGCTTTATAAATAATTACTAGGATTCTGGAGACTTTTTCAAATTAAGTTCTACAAATGTGTTGAATTGACCTCCTTTAATTTTTCTTGTCACTCTTCTTATAAGGTTCTTAGAGCACCTCCAGTGGGGGGTGCTTAGGGTGTATCTTAAAAATAAGCAACGTTGCTTATAAGAAATCCCCACTAGAGTTATCCTAGGTAGCAAAACAAGTCCAAAATCTTTTAGCACCGTTGTTTGGAGAAGCAACAGTGCTTACACTCTGAAAATTAAAATGAAAAGATTTGATTGGTTGTTGTTCATCCTAGGTGGAACATGACAGTGACAGTGTTTTTGCAAACAAAAAAACAGATAAAACTTCCACACCTAGTTCTCCCTCTCAATGGACTCCCTCCGATGGCCATGTTCTGAGCAGTGGCAGCACGTTTGGGGTGGCGTGGTTATGGAAGCTGGCCGCGCGCACGATGGTGGTGGTGTGGTAGTCGAAGCCGGCCATGCGGATGGCGGTGGTGGCGAAAATCGTTCGCAGCACGCGCGTCTCCGGGGTCCTTCGTCGCGCGAAAATTGTCCGACTAGATCTCCTCTGGCGCCGGCCGCTCCGCCCGACCAGACAGTCTTAGCTCTGTCCATAGCTCCGCCCAACCAGACCTCCGCCCGGGACTCCTCAACCGCCCACACGTCTCACCAGGGTGGGTCTTTCATGGTGAAACTTTGAGAGAGAGAGAGTGAAGGGTGAGAATAAGCGAGAAGAAAAAGAGATGTTAAAGGGAAGGTGAGAAACGGAAAATGAGAAAGAGAAAGGGAAAAGTGAGACTTGAACGAAATAAAAATAATAAAAAAAGACGTTGGGATGCTTATAAGCAATTTGCATTGGAGTAAAAATTATAAAAATATAGTATGGGTTGTTTATGAGTGACGTGACACAGTGGGACCTATTTAAAGTGGTTGGGAGTTGCTTATAAGCAACTCCCATTGTAGATGCTCTTATAAGGTGGTAGCAAGTAGAGTTGTCATTTTCTTTTACTCTCCTCAAAATAATTTCTTTATTTTTTTCTTAATTGCAATTGGGACAACTTATCCACTCATCAATTTTTTCTTTCTAAACCAAAGAAACATCAAACTTTATCCATCATTTAACCCATATTGATTTGGCCAAGTACTAAATATATACATTAGACTATCTTACGGAATCATTATCTAATTATGATCAAAATTATTCCTTAGCGAGTTTACGAGTTTCACATTTCATCCCATTATATAACAGGAATTGTCAAGTACCTTGTTAATAACAAAATAACATACGTAATTTGTCTGTATAAATGTGTTACTCTTTCACAATTGTTTGATCCTTCGTAGATCTACCCAAATCCAGACATTATTCTCATTGCAGTAGAGAGAGTAGTAAATAGTGATATTTGTTTAATAAAATTAGATATTATCAAATATATCCTTTTGGAAGAGGCAATACAAACCGACCTTAGCTCAGTTGGTAGAGCGGAGGACTGTAGTTGGAGTAACAGACATCCTTAGGTCGCTGGTTCGAATCCGGCAGGTCGGATTTTACTTTTATTTTTGGTCACTCACGAAATTAGAAAAGAACTCGCTCACAAACAAAAACATTTCAGACATAATAATATCTTTAGTTTTGTTGAGTTATATTTTATATATTTTCATTACAATTAACAAGGATGCAGATTAAATTGATAGTGAAACCTTTTACGGACATTGCATAACTTTTAATTTATTCTCGTAAAACATTTTGCAATCATTTTTATGGTCACAAAAAGTTATGTTTATTGTTACTAACAATTATTTTTGTTGTATAATTATAAATTATATGTAGTTAATATATAAAAGTAAAATAGGAAAGAAAAAAAATGGAAACTAATTAGAATTACTTCTTTTATTATTAGAAATTAAAAAATTCTCTCAATCATTTTAAATCATATTCTTTTGTTTTTAATTTTCAATTAAATTTTAATAGGTTTTTTAATATCAATAGTTAAAAATATTTTATTTATAATTTAAATTATTCATCATAAATCCAAATTTTAATTTATATATATAACTAGAATATTTACTTATGTAAATTTTAATTATATAAAACACATTTATTCTATATAATGCAACAATTGAAATATTAGTTTACATTAATTTCAGTTACGTTTTTTTAAAGAATATTTATATATGGCGTCTACGTGTTTCTTCCATTTTAATTAGAGCGTTGTGTTTTCTTACTTCAAGAGAGAGTACATCTAATCTATCCATATATTTGGTTTTTAGAGAGATTATAACTTTTTACACACTAAATATTGTGTCATTTTTTTTTGTTATAAACTTTATTCTTGTTTATGTAAACTCCAATACCCTACCCTAATTAATGTTCATGTTCTTTTGTTTTACACCAATTTTCATATGTTTAGAACCGATGAATTAATTTGATTCTTATTAAACTTTGAAACCTATAACAAAATCAAACCAGCCTAAGTCCGTTATGGACAACTGTTTTGAAACAATACATATAGTCCAACACCTAATAACTCTTCAACACACCCTATATATTTTGTGCTATATATATATATATGTGATGGATAATTTAATTAACAATAGTTTATTTATTTAATGTTTGTAAATTTTGACAAAATAAATTATCACGGTGTCTAATATGAATAGGCAAATAAATAGCTGTGCAAGCATAAGCATGAACGTTGTGGAGTGCGTATTGATCAAGCATGAGAAATTTTCCCTTCTGGCATTCTATCTACTCATGGAGTTTTAATGATTTCATTCCTCCTCAAAACATCCGTCTTGCAGAAGTTACTTTAACAAGTTGCATTTTATGAAAATTACAAGTTGAATTCGGTGTTATAACTTGCTTCTATCATAAGTAATAATCCCTTCCTTCGGACGTGATTCAATGGATTAAGATATTAAAACTGTTGTGCATGTGCATTCATTTCATAAGGCATCATATTTGATAAGATTGTTCTTAGCTGTCTCATGTGATATGATATCAAAATTGTTGAGTGTTTGTTTGGTCATATATATAGGACTGCCATGCACAATCTTAATATAAAACTCTAACTTTTATTTGGGTTTAAGCTTAAACAAAATAAGTTGAAATTTTGAGTTTGAATTTTGATATCATAAATTAAAAATATTAAAAAGAATGGGTTCTCTCAAAAATTAATTGTGCAATTTGGTGCAATTGCGACTTTTGGCTAAATCCTATAGAAGCAGCGTGGAAAATTACCTTTGGCGCAAGTGTTATGCTCATTGCTCAATGTACATATTGATGCACTTTTTAAAAAATGTTTGACTAAATTTAAAAAATGTAATTTAATTGGTAATATATGTACGTATGAAGACAAATTAATTAAGACAAAATTAGTCTTACAACACAAGAAAAACAAAGATGCATTTCAAAATATCAATGATTAAACAAAATAGCACGGAGTACTTAACAACAAAACTAAACTATGCTTGATCCTGGCCAACTTCAATATAAGATGAGGGACAGTTTGATATGGCGTTGCTTTCATATCAGTTTGATGAATTCCATTTTGATTATTATAAGAGATTCTTTTATTCCAAGAACATTAATATATTATATTACATAATAAACAAATAGGAGAATTTCGTAAGTACGTCTCATTTATAAGTTGGTGCCCTAATAATCGATTATTAATCATGTATGACTAGTTAATAAATTGCATGACTAGATGTGGTTTGATAAAGGAAAGGCATAATAAAGAATAAAATGTAAGAGTGGACCCTGATTAGCCTCCCTTGCTAATTGCTTTTGTCACCATGAATTTACTATAATAGCATGCTGCATGCTCCCACAGTGCTTGTCCATCTCAGGTAAGCTATGATAATAGTAAATGAATAGATAAATAAATAAATAACAAAAGAATTTGTCTGTCTCATTCGTAAGTTGTTCTCTAATCTTCAAATTATTACTCATGCACGATTAGTTAATTTATAACAATTTTAAAAGTGGTATTCTTTTCTATGTTTACTTTTTTTTTTGAATTTTTTGTCCTTTCCGATATTGCAAAATCATTTTACTATTTTGTTTCAACTTCTAGCGCAAGTGTTTGAGATATTTTTCTTTCACTAATTATCCGATATATGAGAATCAAACAGAAAACCATACTAATATATATAACATCCAATTTATCTTTTCAAAAAAAAAGAAAAAAGTTAAGAAAATTGTGAACATTTCCACATGGTTTGCACAAAATTCAGGACTACGTACATACAGTGGATAGAGCAAAAAGGCATATAATGGAATAAACATGATGCAAGAGTGTACCCTTTTAACCTTGTCCTCACTATGAACTTAGCAAAACAGCATGCTGCATGCTTCCAACCCTGTCTTTCAGTCTCGTGTAAAAACTGCAACCGCTTACGCTTGTCACTTTGTTTCCAAATGAAACCAAAAAGAAAAAAATCGAATTCTCCTTTTTGTTTTCCCCTCTAAACAGTGAATAAAATCTTTGCATGTTTTGACGATTATCAATGATTTAATAGTTACACATTACACAACTGTTAGAATGCAAACAAGTTCCACATCAATAAAATAAAACAAAAAATAATAATTTATATAATAACCCTATAAAAAACAACTTCATAGTATATCCTCTCAGATAAATATCATAATCCCATCTCTGGTATCAGAACCGCATGTTAGGTTCAGTAACAACCAATAACTCTCATAAAAAAAAATTTGCATGAAAGATTAGGTCCCTTGTTTGAAAGAAGGATTGTTGAGATACAAGTTTTGATCGGATAAACTTTTGAATAAACATTTACATAATTGGTTCTTGTTGAAGAGAAGATTAGGAATATCCAAGTGATTAATGTCTATCCCTTGATTTTATTTAAAACATGCACTTGGCTTGATTTTATCGTTAACCCACTTCCTAATTAATGACATGAAAGTTTACTAAATTAGAGCAAAAGCAAAGGAAGGAATCATGAAAGGCAATTATTTTGGTAAATCATTTGAATTGAAGTCACCGAGAAACCGGGTAATGAGCCAATGCAAGAAGCAAGGGCCTCAACACATCTCTCCAAAACCGCTCCCCACTTCCCTCTTTTCTCTCTCTCCTCTTCACCTCAACCATAACCAGCTCATCCGTTAACCGGTAAAACCCAACCATAACCACAAAGTTCCCATCCAACCCCTCAATCCTCACTCCTCCACAGCCACTCTCATCCTTCGTCGCCGTCACGTTTTCCGTCACCGTCACCGCCACCTCCCTCACCGCCACCATAACACTCTCCGGCACCTCCCTCGTCACGAACCGCTCCGTGAAATCCGAATACTCCGGGTCACTAAACAAACCCGACATATCCGCAAACGAAAAAGATATCAAGTCAAACGCGTTCAAACACTTGGTCACAACCCGGGTTTCTCCCCACTCCTCGGGTCGGGTTATAGTATCCGAATAGCCGCCCCGGTTGAACCACGGGTCCCGCGTGACCTCATCAAGAGTTATCCTCGTATCGGGATTCGTGTCCAACAACCTCGTGACGAGGTTTCTGAGTTCGCTCGACATCCACCTCGGAAACCGGAACTGTCCTCTGTAGATTTTCCTATAAAGAACGGTAATGTTGGAATCATTGAAGGGCAAGTACCCGGCGTTGAGCGCGAACAAAACGACGCCGCACGACCACGCGTCCACGCTGGCACCGTGATACCCTTTCCGCGCGAGAATCTCGGGTGCCACGTAGGCAGGGGTCCCACACACGGTGTGGAGCATGCCGTCGTGTCGAATCTGGCTCCTCAGCGCGCCCAAGCCGAAGTCGGAGACCTTGAGGTTCGTGTCTCCGTCCACGAGGAGGTTGTCCAGCTTGAGATCGCGGTGGAAGACGCCGCGCGAGTGGCAGTGCCTCACGGCGGACACCAGCTGGCGAAAGTAGCGGCGGCTGGTGTCCTCCGTGAGACGGCCCTCGCCGGCGACCACGTGGAAGAGTTCGCCGCCGGCGATGAACTCCATGACGAAGTAGATCTTGGACTTCGTGGCGAGGACCTCGTAGAGACGCACGGTGTGGGGGTGGCGCAGGCGGCGCATGATAGCCACTTCCCGCTCCACGTGCGCCGCGTAACCGTTTCTCTCTAGCGTGCGCTTGCTGACGGCCTTAACCGCCACGCTCTGCGCGGTGTGAACGTTCCGCGCGTGGTAGACCTTGGCGGAGCCGCCAACGCCTAGTAATTTGAGAATCTCGTATTTTCCGAACAAAACGACACCTATCACTGCCTCGTCCTTTGTCGTCGACGTTGCACCTTGGTGGAGCATGGCGTTATTTTACTGAGAGAAACAGACTCAGCGGAAGTAAGAGTGGTTGAAGGGAATTGGGAAGTTGAGGGTCATATAATATAGGGAAGTGGGAAATTAAACCGTGCAAGGGATGGAGATCGGAGAGTGTTTGTGTTTGGTGTGGGAAAGGTTTGTTTCTTGAAAATGTTATCTTGCAAGGAACTTTGTTTGGTGAAGCCTGGGATGATGGAAGTGCTATTTTAGGAGAAGGAAGAAGAGAAGCAAGCAATGCAATGCAGTACAGTAGAGTGGCATGGACGCACGGTATTGCCTATTTAAACATGATCATCTTAGAATACAAATATTAATAAGTTTACAACAATATAACAGCAATTTCATTTCAAACTGTCGGAGGATGGAATTAGTAGAAAATTTAATTTTATTAGTTTTATTTTATTATTTAAATATCTTGAGTTTAAAAAGTGTTAGATATGGATTGGCCAAAAAAACGAAAGAATAACATTAATTTAGTCTAACTAAACAGGTTAATTAAGCTAGGTTAGGTTAATAATAACTTATATTGGGCTTAATACTTTTATTTTATTATTAACAATTTAAATAAAAATAAAATTACAAATAAATTAGGCTAATTTTTCGGACCAAATGGTTAAGCCTAATCGGCCTATAAAAAATCGGTTCAATCCAAATTAACTACAAAGTCACTTGTAAACATTAACATGCATGTGAGATTGGATTGGTTCATTTCACATCTCTAAATTTAATTCAAATTTAATTTATTATAATTTTAAGGTTTAAACATGTTTTTAATCCCTTAAATTTAAAGTAATTTGATTTTAGTTCATCAAATTTAAAACTATTATTTTTAGTCTCTATAATTTTAAAAAATCTTATTTTAATCCTTATACTTCAATTTTATTAAAAAAATTATAAAGTATAATCGCATAAAATATATCTATTAATATTTTCATTAGTAAAAGTATCATATTAAATCAATTGATACTACACAACTGTTTTAATATATTACTTTTAATATGTTATTGGTAACTTAAGAAATTAAAATAAAATTTTAAAAAATTATAGGGACTAAAAATAATAATTTTAAATTTAAAAAAATAAAAAATAAATTTATTTTAAATTTAAAAGACTAAAAACATATTTAATTCTAACTTTAAAATATATTGACCAGGTTTATATATTTTTTTTTGTTATTTTATGTAATAAAATTAGTATTTATACTACAGGTCCTCGCATATGACCAAGAATTGAAGGGATAGGTTAACCCAAAAGAGTCACTAAAATTTTTGGTACCCTTGGTAGGCAAATGATTGATTTGGAATATTAGATACATATGAATATCCCTCAGATCCGTCGACCACTAAATATAAATACGTTATTAAGTGAACCTTTGACCAACTTACACGATAAAGTACTCGACCCCCTTGGATGTTGACACCCCCTTAACCCCTCGGATGTCGACACCCCCTCGGTTAGCCAAATTAGGTTTCACCATGAACATAATATTTCATGATTAAGGTTAATGGAGGTGAAATACGTGTTAAGGAGTATATTACTTAATTGTTAATCTCACATCAAAGTTCATCATACAAAAGTTTATTAAAATTAGTATAAATAATGACATATATTGAGGTAAAAACTATTATTTATTTAACTTGTAACATTGTATGTTTTTATTATTTTATTATTTAAATATATGATATGTGTTGTTTTAAAAGTTATGTTATAATTATTATTGTTTTAGAACTCTAAATATATGACATTGTATCCTTATATAAGTTGTTTTGGAGTTATTTTAAGTTGAAGTTAAAGTTGATCAAATTTGAGTGATTTTCTTAAGACTTGAATGTTACAAGTTAATATTCTAAGAAAATCTAGAGAGAAGTTTAGAGAGATAGACTTTTGTTCCGGCCAAAGGGTGGACTAGGATTTTTTCCTAGATCGTGCCTTAGAGCTAGAGCATTCAAAAGTGTAATCTGTCTTCTCAACTCTAGGGTTTCAGGTTTTATGGTATGTCGTTCATGGGCCTCTTGGGCCCCGAGAATAAAGGGATTTTGTTAAACGCTCTTATCTGCAAGATATTTGACGGGGACGATATCGATATAGGATTCAGTGCTCGGTTCTTAACCGACTAGGACCATTTGGGAGGGCCTACTCGGTTATCGACCGAATTAGGCAGGCGGAGTTGGTGCAGGGTCGTATACAGGGTTATAGTGAGATATAGACCGAGTGCCCCTAATGAGGGGGTCGGTCTAAGTCCTAATTTGTCTGCCACATGTGAAGTCCAGTCGGCCCGCGTTGACCAGTCGGTATCTGACCTGGACGGTCCACTAGCCTTCTAGTCCTGAGCCTAGAAGGCGAAAGGGCTTAAGGTTGAGTTGTCGACCACATGCAATCTTAGTCGGTCTGCCACACGTAGTGATGTCCGGTCAAACTGCGTTGACCAGTCGGTATCTGACCGGGACGGTCCACTAGCCTTCCAGTCCTGAGCCTAGAAGGCGAAAGGGCTTAAGGTTGAGTTGTCAACCACATGCAATCTTAGTCAGTCTGCCACACGTAGTGACGTCCGATCGGACTGTGTTGACCAGTCGGTATTTGACCGGGACGGTCCACTAGCCTTCCAGTCCTGAGCCTAGAAGGCGAAAGGGCTTAAGGTTGAGTTGTGGACCACATGCAATCTTAGTCGGTCTGCCACACGTAGTGACGTCCAGTCAGCCCGCGTTGACCAGTCGATATCTGACCGGGACGGTCCACTAGCCTTCCAGTCCTGAGCCTAGAAGGCGAAAGGGCTTAAGGTTGAGTTGTCGACCACATGCAATCTTAGTCGGTCTGCCACACGTAGTGACGTCCGGTCAGACTACGTTGACCAGTCGGTATCTGACCGAGACGGTCCACTAGCCTTCCAGTCCTGAGCCTAGGAGGCGAAAGGGCTTAAGGTCTCACTTAACCACTTGTGTTCCTGGTCGGTCTGGGGTAATCGTGTGGCGTAGGTCAGAATCGGGCCCAGGGTAAGGCAACAGCCACTTTGGTTGTCATCGGTGGTGGGCCGAGAACCACGACCTGATGTAGAGTCGTGGCTTCCCGAGGCCAGACAAGACATGTCTCTTCCCCTTCTTCAAGAAGGGACATACATTTATTGTAAAGACGGTATCGCAGGGGACGTATCCCATGATTGGGCCACGTGGTCGCGCCAGTTACTAGAGTTAATGGTGTGGGCCCCCCTACCCTTTTCCTGGGTCCTTGGGTTAAGAGTTGCAACGCCCCACGCGCGTTGTAACCTTTGAGTCTCCCCCTACTCGCGCGACCCTTGGGGTTCTATAAATAAGGGTGGACCTCACTTCCCTTAACTTATTTGTTTTTTCTTTTCTTGTACTCTCCTTCTCCGGTGGCGCTCCCTATTGCATTTTAGAGTTGCGGTGGTGCACGGTGATTCACGGCGGTCCAGTGGCCTTTTGTAGGGTGAGGAAGAGTTGTTGTGTGGTTTTAGGTACGCCCATCTACCCCCTTTCTGTTTCTAGAGAAACTTCAGTTTCCCCCTAAGTTAGAAAGGTTTAAGGATATTTGTCGAAAATGACAGTTTTAAATTATGGGAAATGTATAAGTGGGTAAAGGACGATGTTTTGCGTTGTGAATCTTGTATGAATTCATGGGCCATAGTTGATAGTTTCTGTAATGAACATGTGATTTGCGAAGGGGGGGAAAACGCCCTTGTTTGTGAGCCGTGTGTTGATAGGGAGCCCGTGTGTGTCAGGGGGACTCCCACCGAGAAGTTTACCTTCTGCTATACTACTTTAATTTCAAAACTTAGGTGAGGTGGCCCCTTTCTGAGTGTGAAAAAGGAGTTCTCCACATACTGAATGTAGCCCCTACACAACTTCACCCAAATGGTTGGGCTTTTATCCGGGGGTTTGAGATTTTGTGCATAGGTCTAGGCATTTCTCCGACTGTAGACAAATTTTTCTATTTTTTTGAATCCCGAGTGAGCAAACGTACTGGTTGGGTGTCCATTGGCGGGGTAAATGGAAGAGGACTTTTGACATTATTTCAATCGTCCTACAAGGACTTTAAGAAGTCGTTTTTCTGACTTCGATGTACCCCTGGGAATGAAAATTTACTTGACGGGTTCCTTCTGTATTGGAATCGACGAACGGTAACTTATGGTGGTCTATCACTCGAGAAGGTCGCCGAGGAAGATCAAGAGGACATTAAAAAAATTGAGGAGCTCCAAACGATTTTCAGCACCACTAGGCTTCGAGACTTAGAAAATAGACCCAGTGAATTGAGAATCTATATAGGTAGTCGGTTTCTCACCGATAACCTTTAATATTATTTTTATTTGACTTCTGCGCTTTCCTATAATAACATGTGCGTTCAATTCTTATGCAGAAAAAATGGCAAGCTTGAGCAATCGTGAGATGAGGAAATTATGGAAGCAGCAAGAAGCTTCCAAAGCTATCGGGGTAGCAGCGGTCGGTGAAAAGGCGAGTGGTGCGGGGGCCTCTCTAAAGAAGGGTGTCGTCATCGAGAGTCCCCACAAGCGTCGCTGGGAGACCGAGAATCCCATCACCCTGGTCAATCTCGAAACTGAGATCGGGGGAGAGGAGCTTGAAAAGGACGTCGAGGTCCAATCGACTGAAAGGACACTTAGTATGTGTATTGGGGACAACTGGGAACCCCTTGACCATGGTGCTGACCAAGGGAAAACTTTGTCCTTCTGGGACGAAAAGTTTAACCATTCATCTCACATCCGCAACACCGATCTGCTTGAGGGCGATAAGGAGGACTTAGAAAAAATGAGCCCCTTTTCAATTGCAAAGGGGGTTGAGTCTTTGACTAATCGCCTCTCCGCTTTGTCTCTCGTTAATGAAGATAAAATTCGCGGAATTGCCCGAGAGATCAAGCTGCAGGGAAAACAAATCAATTCTCTCGAGGAAGCCGTGAAGAAAAGCAAGGCAGATCTTCAGTGGGTGAGTTCTGAACGAGATAAATTGCTTGAAGGTCTGCGTGCCTTCGACAATGAAAGGAAGGCTTGGGACTCCGAGAGATCGAACTTCGAGAAAGAGCTTGAAGAGGTCAGGTTAGTCCGAGATCAAAGCGTGGATGCAGAGAAAAAGCTGTGGTGCGTACGGAGGGCTCTGTGATTTCAATCGGGATCATGGCGTCTGTTCTATTCACTAAATTGAAT